GGTTGTCCAATCTTACCTGCAAAACTTCCGCATATCAATACTATCTCAAGCTGCGGCGCCTGACTTCTCCGGCTTTCCCCAAGTCGGTTCCGGTACACATTGCTTTGGTTGATATACTTGAATGTTGTCTCACCCATCACCCCAGGACAGGTATCGCGAATTCAGAAGAGTTAGTCGGCAATGGCGCAATTTGGAACTTAAAAAATGCTTTGGTTTTGGACATGAGCCTAGAATGCCGAAGGCTGGAGAGATGGCATATGGTTGTGCATCTTGCGCCCAGCCAGGTGTTAACTTGCCAATGAACTGGAAAGAGGACCCACATCCGTAAGCATGAACTGCCCTTTGTTCACATACTCATTCCCATTGGCAGCGAGGTCTTCACACGATTTCTTTGTGTTGATGGTAACTTCTCAGCTGATCACCTGAAGCAACGAAATGCCATGGACGATGTATGGCTGACCAGTGGGGAAGGAATGATGACAGAGAAGGAGGCTTACAAGAAGTACCTGGCGCAGCCCACTGTTACTCGCCAGGTGAGTTGGACCGCCTTCCCATATGTGGCGCATCCCAGTTCTGCCGCCCGAGGTTGCTGCGCCATGTAGCCATGTAGCATTTGATGCTTTTGGGCGCAGAATCCTACTGCGCCCACTGCCCCTTTCAAAACCTGACTCATTTGGTTGTAGGTCAAATCAACATGCAGCAACCACCAGGCCATCAACAATGCAAGTCAGAATCACGCAGGCTGTGATGCAACTGGCATTGCGGCATTTGCCTGCCCCCGATCAGGCGCCTTCATTCCAGGCAGCGTTGTTGACTTTCAGAAGGGCGAGCGCCAGCTGAACATCAACTATGCTCTTTGTGAGGCGCTGAAGAACATGGGACTGAATGGTTTGGACGATATCATGATCATATATGACGTGATGTGTCAGTATCATGTTAATCTCTGGGACAGGATTGCTAACAATCCAAATCTTTCCATCTCTGAGAAGGCTAATTTGATCATGGGAATTGGTTTATTTCATGTCCATGGTCATCAGGATGAGTGCCTCTTCTGGTTGGCGACGTCATTTATTCCCGGAGCTGGAATGGTAGATGGGGAAATATTGGAAAGCCTTTGGGCGCAGCTCAATGATATCTCGAGGAGTACCCGCACGGCCACCCTCGCCCATTGGGCCAAGGTCTTGGACGACCATATGAATGACAGCAACTGGAATAAAATGGTCAACATTGTCTCCTCAGTCATTGCCAAGTACAGGAAGGCTGTCGTTGGTCTGGTGGACAGCAAAGACTACTTTGACCAACTGAATAGTTCGGCAGGCGAACACAACCACACATGGCAGGCAGAGATTCGTGCGGCTGAGAGCGATCGGGCACAAGGAAATTTGAAGGCGATGGATATTATGGCGCCAAGAAATCCACCCAATTGTCCAGGTAAGCTCTTACTATGCAACTTTGGTGGAATTGGCTCGTCCACCAAGAGTGTGGCGCCCAAATTGAAGGCGCCGTTCCAGGAAGAGTGGCGCACAAATTGAGGGCGCCGTTCCAGGATCCCTGGCGCTCATGGACGCCGTGCTAGCACCCCTGGCGCTCACGCCATTTTACCTAGACTAACCAACACTACAGCCCCCCTCACCACCGCTCAAGTCCAATTAAAGCTGATGGACCAGGAGCGCCTTTCGATGGGCAGTACAGGTCAAACATCTTGGATTGCAACAGGACTCAAAATTGAGGAGACACAGTAAGACCCTGACAGAGCCAATGCATACGAGGAATGGCTTACATTAAAACAGGATTGAACTAAGGTTTCTCATTCGGCGTACTGGAAAAAAACCAACTATCCTGCAGAAAGTTGACATTGCTAAGAGGAGGGAAAGGTTAAGAGTGAGAATCGATGCTTTCAACAAGACGGGAATGACCTTTTTAGCATGGAACCCAGCATTAAATGAAAATCAGCTGTTGCTTCGTGAAGAGTTTGATATGGACGATGTTCTGCAGATGGACGATGATCTGGCCGAGTCAAATTTCAGTGGCAGCGCGCCTGATATCATGGTGGTCGCCGCCACAAAGGTTGCACAAGCCCAGGCAGCGGCGCTTGCTGCGGCTGAAGCTGTTGAACATGTGAAACTAGCCTTGCCGTCAGCCATGGGAGAAGAGCACCTTCAGGCTCATGGATTACAACATTTTTTGTCCAAAGAATATCAGTTGCGCCAAGGGCAAGCGAACGATGCTCTTCAAGGCGTCCGAGTGTCACTGGCGAATTTGTCTTTTGAATATGGAAGAAAGCTTCGAAAAATCAAAAAAAGTAAAGTCAAGAAAACAAGGGCATGGGCGACGGTGCACGCTGTTGGGCGAACGCTTCATCATCATCGCCAGATTTACTCCTATGCCATCGATGCCATTTCAAGATTGGGCGACCCAGAGAAGAAGATAGGGCGCCAGTATAAACCGCTCTTGAAGGAGGACATGAAGGCAAATACTGCGGTAGCAGACCCGAATGCGCGAGGGCAAAGTAGGGCAAAGCCAGCCTGGTTTTGGAGTTCCAACTTGGCAGGCGATATGCAGGACAACGAACGGATGGTAGAGTGTAAAGCATCCCTATACCCTCCTCAGTAGTAGATTATTGATTACCTTTCTAGTTCATCGCATCAATTGGCTTCGGGCCAGGGCCAGGTTTCACAGATGGAGAGAAGAATTCAACCTGTTGTCACATGAGATGGAATGGGTGACGAGATACTTCTTGTATCAGGTGAACAAGTGGAGTGCATGGCAAAAAATGGCAGCAGACCAAGCAAAGCCTGGGCATGTTTGCTATGCTGAACGCCAGAAGGATCTGTGGAATATGCTTGCCATCGATGCGGATAACAGGTTTCAATTGTCCAACCATTATTATAAGCCACTTGTCATGTAATTCATACACAAGCAACCAGGTGCAACGTCCTGTCCTGGGTGGGCGCAACATAATGTGTGTGCAAAATGCGCTGTGTGGGCGCGGTGTACTGTGTGATCGCAACGTACTGCGTGGCGCAGCATTATGCGCAATGTCTTGTGTGGGCGCCATGTACTGTGTGAGCGCAACACTGTGGCGCAACATACTCTGCAGGCGCAACAGACTGGGGCGCAACATATTGCGGGATGGCAATGTAGTAGCTGTGGGCCATCACGTGTCCAAACCACATGACCGGCTTGTTCATTTTTGTGTGCCAATCTCAACTTGAATCATGGACACTGCAATGGAATGGCGCGTCTACCACTTCTTCTCCCGATGCAAGGCGGCATGGAGTGCATACTCCGATGACAAATTGAACTGGATTGATGACAAGGAGAGGCAAGAGTGGTGGAAATTGAGGATTCAGCATGAAACTGTTCGTCCTCATGGTGTTCACTGTTCATCTATCTTGATCTATCTTAATCTATCTATAGAACCGTCTTTGCATGGAAGTTGGGAAAGCGTACTGCTTGGGTGGAGTACTTGACCTACCGCCATGGGCACCTGCTTTATTGAACGCAACAAATCCTGCAAGACGGATTGTAAAACCACTCAGTCCCGCGGTTTTGAAAGCACAATACGGGCCCAAAGACCAGGCGCCGATTCTAGCGACATATGAGGCCGACTGGTGGAATTCTGTGGGCGCCAGCGGTGAGAATGAGAAAAAGCTATTGAAGGCGCATTCGGATGAGGAGGAAAAAGCTTTTTGTAAGTGGATTGAAGCCATGGGACAGGTATTTACACACTTGATCTGTTGTCCATCGATTTTATTGATACCTTCTACTGTTTAGCCATACTGTGAACCCAACATGGAAGTCGAGGACGATGAGGCTGGCATTCCAGTTCTGCCAGTGCATGCGGCCACAGCAGCAGCAAAGGTTCATGGCGCACAGATGTGGGTCCAACACCTCTTTTTTCGTGGTCGCATGGAACAAGACCAGCTCCGAAACGACATAGAGGCCATTGAGATTTTGATGGACCGGCTACATCAACGGGAGATTCGCTTGCAGCCCGTCGGTCCTATACCCGCAGGCCCTTGGCAGGATGCTGGGGCGCTCCGCACGGGCGCCGTCGCCCCTTACTTTGAACAGCAACCTGAAGACGAAGAGCAACCAGAATACCAACCTTCTCCTGTGTCCTCCACAGGCTTGAGTTGGCCAGCATCAGGACACTCCAGCACTGGTGACTCCGCAAGTGATTATGGTTGGCCTGCCTTCAGAGAGGCGCAGCCAGGTGGTAGTGAGGGAGATGAAGATGGATCTGGGCTGATGGATCTTGATGAGGGTG